GGGGGGAGTGGTTGTGCATCTTGTGGGCTCAGTATGGCAGGGATTGGTTTTTTTGTTGTTACTGTGGTTTTAATTTTTGCTCCTCATCCTCCCAAGCGCCTGAAAAAAAAAAAAAAAAAAGAGAGGGATAAAACGCTTCAATTAAAAAAAAAAAAAAAAAAAAAAAAAAAATAAGGTGCTGGACTTACAGCAGAGTAAGGTCCAACTATTTAGGCCCATGACAGAGCAAATGAAATTTTTAAAACCAGAAGATGCTTTAGCAGTCTCTGGTCCAACCTCTTTGTTTTGCAGGTGAGAAGCTGTATCCTTTCTCAGGGTCACAGGGCATCTGGGTGAGAACTAGGGTCCCTGGATTTGCATTCCAGGCTCTGCCACCATGGGGCAGGTGTGGCTCCTGCCGGGTAGTGTTTACAGGTGTACCACCTCAGGCTGAGTGAAGTTCTGGAAGTGCCTCAGGTGTCCTTGAGCTGACCTGGCTCCATGGTTAGAGGCAGGTGTGTGCAGTGGGAGGAGCTGGATACCTGAGTCATGTGACTCTCCAGGTCACCCCTCAGGGCACCCCTGCCCCATGTGTGCAATATTCATATTTCCTGCAATTCCAAGGAAGGCCCAGCAACCGCACCTTCCTTGGGTTGTGCTTGGGTTGGGCCATTTAATTTTTCTACAAGTCAGAAAGAGCAATATTTCCTGCGTAAATTTGATCTTCAGTGGAACCGTAGCTCTCGGCCTGTTCCACTAGTTTTCTGAATGGAGTCCAGGTTCTGCTTTGTTCCTGCCATGGGAAGACCTCCTGCAGAGGTGCTGGAGCACTCAAGCAAGCAGAGAATTTATTTCGGTGCAGCTTACATGGAGGGCGCTTTGTGAGCTGTCGGAGATGACAAGCAGCTTCTGCCTTGTGTCTTGGAGAACTTAATATTCCTATGCAGAAGCGGGAGCCCAAAGGCAGGGGCACATCAATGAAAGCTTGGCTCCCCTGTCTTGATCTGTTTTCTGAGGTGGAGGGAACCACTGCGTCCATAGCTGTTAAATGGATTTTCAGATGTGGGTGCCTCGGTCTGAAGTGAGTCTCCCTTAGAAGCTGCACCCTTGTGGTACTTCAGGGACTGACCACTTTTCCCTTGGCCTGGTCTGTCGCATCTGGGATGCTCCTGGAATCCTGCAGTAGTTACCTCTCCATGTTTCTGCCATGAGTTTTTCTTTGTAGAATGAACTCCTGAAAGAATGGCAGTTATTTATTTGATGGAAGGAAAGTTTAGGAAGACCTGCACGGAGCATGGCCACGTTCTTCTCAAGGCTTTATTAATAGGCAAGTTTAATGCACAGATGGTCTGGAGTGTATGGGTTGCCCAAGGGGCAAAATCTGGACTTTCTAAAACCTATTAAGGTATTTTTAGGTTTTCCCTGGTAGATTATACTGGCAGGAAATGTCTAATTTTTATTCTGCCTGACCCCTTTCTGTCCTTATGCTATGTATTGTCTTACTTAAAACTAAGACTATTGGAATTGTATATTATACCTGTGAGCATACCTGGCCCTCACAGATAAAATTGGAAATAAATCACTCCAGCTCTTTCTTTTAAAATCAAAGTTACTTCTATGGCTGGTCTATCTTTTCCTCTTTCACTGTCTGCCCTTAATACCTTCCTCAAATGTGATCAGTAATGAGGCCTCATGGAATTGAATTTTACCTATGTTAGAAGGATCTTTAGATGATGAAAATCTTTTAAGAATGCTTTCACTCTTTCTTCTCCTAGATTACTGTTTATAAATAACTTAGAAAGTGCAGCCTTTCTTTAGACACTGTCTTCTCAGCTCAAGTTGGGTGATTTCGGTGGCTTGCTTTGCTAGAGGTTGCAGAAAACGAGGACCTTGGGCCCCCATCTTCAGCTTAACTTCTGACCCCTTGTGAAGGACTGGAGACCTTTGGAGGGGAATCACCTTACCCAGGGCCATTTGGCCAGTGAGGCCCGGGTGGGGCTGAGCACCATGACTCCTAACTGAGCAAAGTATCTCCTCCCAGAGGCCATGGAGGAGCTGGGATGGGTTGAGAGGCGGGGCATGGTATTCTGGCAAGGTCGCTAGAGGGTTGTTTAAAGTCAGAGTCCTTGGAGCAAAATCTTCCCGGCTTTTCAGGAACTGGTGTCTTCAGATTACTATATTTATTATTAGGGCAAGGAGGGGCCCCATGGCCCGATGTGTGGTCTAGAAAAGCCAAGTAGCTGTCATTTTTGGCAATGCGATTTGGGCGGTTCACAGGACGAGTTGCTGATGCGGTTTTTTCTTTTCCCGGCCCTGTAGTTCTCTGTCAACATGCCCTCTTTGCTGTTGCTGGGAGCCATCTGGACTTTCCTGTTTTCCAGAGGTAAGACGGTTTTTGGTGGGCAGTAAAGGACTAGGGGTTTATTTTGCTTCAAATCCTGTTAACCTTTCTTTTTTTTTTTTTGAGCTACATCCCCATTAACTTTTTTTGTATTTTTTAAATTTTGAGACGGGATCTTGCTAAGTCGCCTAGTTGCCCAGGGTGTGCTCAAACTTACAATCTTCCTATCTCGGCTTCCCAGAGTGCTGAGAATTACAGGCATATTCCACTACCCGCAGCTTGATTTTAACTTCTGAGCTTGATTTTAACTCTTGACTCCATGTACATCTTCACAGCCACCTCCCTGCTCTAAGCCCCATCAGCTTGTGTTTGGACTGCTACAGCAGCCTTCTGGCTGGCCTGCCTGGTCCAGCTGGTCCTCATCCAGCCCGTTCGCCACCCAGTGACAGTGGCCAGATGCAAATCGGATCATGTCTTGATCCTTCTCCACTCCTGCCTCACGCTTCTAAGTGACTTTCTGTTGCTCTTTTTTTTTTTTCTGGTACCGGGAATCGAACTCATAACCTCAGGCTTGCCAGGCAAGCATTTATGCCACTGAGCTATATCTCCAGCCCTTCTGTTGCTCTTACAAGCTGCGGTCCAGTCCCATCTCATGGCCATCTCAAGTCCCCTCTACGCTTTGCGTGGCAGCCCCTGCTCTTCCAGTCCTGCCTGGTATCCTTGCTTCCTCCCTTCAAAGAGAACCCCACGTTGCTCTGTTGGTGTCTCCTTGAAATCACAGGAGCCCCAGTCACTTGCTCCTAGCATGTTGCTCCTGCCTTGGAAGTGTGTTTTTCATTTTTATTTTTTTAATTTTGCTGGTGTGGGGGATTAAACCCAGGGCCTTGGACATGCTGGGCAAGTGGTTTACCACTGTGCTGGCCCCCACATCTATTTTTTGAATTGCTGATATATCACTGTTATAATTTTATTGCTCAGATATCATTATTTATAATTTTTCATTTGGTGTCAGAAAGAATGAAAAATGTATGCATGGACTTTCTACTTGTCTTAGTGACTTTCCTTGTCACTGAGACACAATACCTCACACCCACAATTTAAGGAAGAGAAGTTCATTCTGGCTTACATTTCAGCCATGGTCTCCATGGCAGAGGTATAGCAGAGGAATGGCTGCTCACTCTATGGCATCCAGGAATCAGAGAGAATAGAGGGAAAAACTGGGAAAGGAGAGATACCCTTCTAGGTCACCCCCACTGCTCTGCCTCTTCTGACCAAGCTGAGCCTCGTAATACAACATTTAGCTGTAATACCCTGTAATTCATTACCTTTCGAAAGCCCCACTTTTCAGCACGTGAGACTTTGGAGGTTGGGAACACCCAGATAGAAACCATAACACTCCAGAACATTTTGCTCTAGTTTATAGTAATTGCATTGAACAGATGTATCAGTATCTACTCAGTACCTCTCTTTATCGTTCACATTTCTCTAGCACAAAGAACCCTGAAGGGGATGGTCTTAATTACATTTTCCCTTCTCAAAAATTGCTTTGCCTTCAGATTCATTTCCAGTTGTGATATCTTTTCATTTTTATGACTCTTAAATCAAAATATATGGTGAATGTTTAAACAAATGTTAAAAATATATTGTTGATTTAAAAATTTATTAACATTTAAATGAAAAATTTATTAACATTAAATTTAAACCTTAAATTTTAACATTAAATTTAACATTAAAAATATATTGTTGATTTAAAAATTTGTTAACATTTAAATAAAAAATTTATTAACATTAAATTCATGACATTTAAAAATATATTATTTTTAAATGTTAAAATTATATTGTTGGTTTTTTTTTTTTTTTTTTTTTTTGGTTTTGGCTTTTTTCTGGTACCAGGAGCCGAACTCATGACCTTGCACTTGCCAGGCAGGCACTGTGCCACTGAGCTAAATCCCCAGCCCCTTAAAAATATATTGTAATAAAAGGTAGATTACCATTAATCCTCCTCAAAGTATTCCTCACTTCAAACTTATCATATTGTTCTTGCCATTTTTTGAAGTAGTTCTGGAAGTCCTCTTTTGTGAGTTGAATATCTTCACAGCTCAAGGTGTGGGGCCGGGGAGATAGCTCACAGTGCCTATCTGGCAAAGGCAATGTCCTGAGTTTGATTCCTGGTACCAAAAAAACCACAAAAAACAACACCAAAAATGTGTGATAAAGAATACAGTGAATCGTAATCATCTCAATAGATGCAGAAAAAGTTTTTGATAAAGTCCAGCACTCATTCATGATAAAAACCCTACAGAAAACTGGAATAGATGGTCTTTATCTCAGTCTGATAAAAGCCATCTATGACAAACCAACGGCCAATGTCATACTATATGGACAAAAACTGAAAGCTTTCACCCCCAAATCAGGAACAAGACAAGGATGTCCACTGTCACCGCTCCTTTTCAACATAATTCTAGAAACATTAGCCAGAACAATGAGACAAGAGAGAGAAATAAAAGGAATAAGGATAGAAAGGAAGAAATTAAATTATCATTATTCTTAGATGATACTATGCTCTACGTAGAAGATCTAAAATATTCCACCAAAAGACTCCCAGAATTAATAACCAAATTCAGTTGTGTGGTGGGATACAAAGTCAATATTCAAAAATCAGTAGCATTCCTGTACACAAACAACAAACTTATTGAGAGAGAAATTAGGGAAACCACACCTTTCACAATAGCATCCAAAAAACTGAAATACTTAGGAATCAATCTAACTCATTGTTTGAGTTCAAGCATTCTGTGACCAGTTGGAACATTTCTCCCAATGCTTTTCTGTGAATCTGTTTCTTTTCTGAATTATCTGTTCATATCCAAGGTTAACTTTTATGGCAGATGTTTTGCCCGAGGGACCTGGCAGAGGGTGAGGGGTTTCCGAGGTTGTACATAGATACAGTGCAGAGAACTGAAACCAGTGGGGGACGCAGTTAAGACAACGAGTTAGGGACCAATGTCTTCAGAACTGGAGGACCTCTGTAGTGCCCTGTGTGTGTTTTGTTTTGTTTTTGCAATGCTGATATTGAACCAGAGCCTCATGTATACTAGGCAAGTGCTGTACCATTAAGCTACCACCCGAGCCCTCTCCACGTATTTATAATCTTTGTTTTCAAAATTCCCAAATCTGAATTCAAAGATTCCTCACAGAAGTTGTATAATAGGAGTGAGTTTCTGTGGGATCCATGTGGCGATTGTTGAAGCACAAGTATCACTGGGCTTCTCCATCTTGCTGTGTTTTGCCCTGCGGGCTGTTGGTTCTGATCGTATAACATGGAGGTGAAGATTCCTCCCTGTTCCACCTTGTCACGCATGCTTCTGCTGTCTTCTCTCCTAGTGCCCCCGTCCCTCCCTCTTCAGGAAGTCCATGCGAGCAGGGAGACCATTGGGAAGATTGCTGCTGCCAGTAAAAGTAAGCTGCTTTTACTTATCCTTCCACATACGCACTCCGACAGCTGGGAGATAGAGTCACAGGAGACCATGTTCCTTCTGAGAGTTTCTACCGCACTCCCAGCTTCTTTTCATGATGTTGCCAGATTCATTCTCCTCAAACAGGGGTCTTGCCAAAATACTCTGCTTGGTAAAAACAACCTCTGTAACCTGCCACTCCCCACCCCAGGAGTGAAGATTTAACTTAGGGCCTTCACACCGAGTTACAGTCACAGCTCTTTTAAAATTTTTTAAAGTTTGAGATAGGGTCCCACTAAGTTGTGCAGGCTGGGTTTGAACTTGCTATCCTCCTGCCTCAACTTCCCAGGGTGCTGGAATGACAAGCATGTGCCACTATACCCCATCCTCTGTAAAGCTTTTCTCCTGAATTTCTTGGCCTGCACCTCAAGGCCTTTTGCTACCTGACCATGGTCTACCCAACCACCTCCTCTCCCACAGTAATCCCTCCTCTTCCATCCTTGTCAGCGTCTCTCCACATGCGCAAACCACACCGGCACAGTCCCAGGGGCTCTGCCTTCCCCTCCTTCTCTCTCTGGAGAAACCCCTCATGGGGTCACAGCTCCAGTGCCGCCCTCTGGGGCCCATCTCTGCTGTGCTTCTCTGACTCCTGCTCCCTTCCAGCCTCCCAGTGAGATGGGAGAGTCTAAACATTCTGGGTTAGATTCCCAGATCCACCACTTCCGGGTGCCTTGGCCCTAGGGAAGTTACTGACTTACTGTGTGTTCTGCTTGCCTCATCTGTCCAGGTGAGTAAAAACTACCAAATCTCTTTAGGATTCAAATGAGTATTTTGATGGTGGGTGATAACTCTTCATTGCTGTTAGCAGATACCTGAGAAAAACAACTTAAAGGAGGCTGTGTTTACTTTGGCTCAGTTTCAGAGGTTAAGTCCATGGTCACTTGGCTCTGTTCCTTCTGGGCCCACAGTGAGGCAGAAACATGGTAGGGAGCATGTGGTGGGGCAGAGCAGCTCACTTCATGGCAGATAGGAGGCAGAGAGAGAGGAAAAGAGGCAGAGAGGAGGGGCCAGAACGAGGTACAGTCCCCAAGGTCACACCCCCAATGACCTATTCTCTTCAGCTGATCCATCGCCTCCCAGTAATGTCATCAGTTTATGATCTCTTCACTGAATTAATACCCTGGTGAAGTGAAAGACTTTACATCCTGTCACTCCTCAGGCCCCACCCCGCACGTTACTGCATTGGGGGCCAACCCCTCTTTGGGGGACACATCGTAATGAAATCACAACAGGATTGGTAATACCTAAGAAATGCAGTGCACGTTCCTTTTGGGCATAATGGAAAATCTCTTGGCTGAGGTAATGGTGGAGTGCATATGTGAATGCTCTAAAAACATTGAATTGGCCAAGTGTGGGGTGCATACCTGTAATCCCAGCACTCTAGGAGACTGGGACGGCGAGATTGCAAGTTTGAGCCCAGCCTGGGCAACTTATCTACTTAGCGAGACCCTGCCTCAAAGTAAAACATAAAAAAGGGCTGGGGATATAGTTGAATACAAAGGCCTTGGGTTCTATCCTCAGTACCTCAAAAACAAACAAAAACATTGAATTATACACTTCAAATGGTTGAGTTAAATTAGCACAGCTAGAGTGTCTCAGGTGGCCCTGGGCTGGAGGAAATGCACATCCAGTGCTGGTGTTGCTGTTGCTACTTGAATGTTTGGGTAACAGGGCCTCACGTATCATCAGGAGGTCTGTGTCCTGGACTAGGTGTGGGGCCTGGGAGACCCTCCTCAGAGAGCTCAGTTAGTGTGGCCGAACCTGTAGGCCTTGGCATGAGTCTTTGTAACATGGAAGAATCTAGTTCAATCACACCTGTCTCACTCTCCCTAGTGATGTGGTGCTCAGCTGCCATGGACATCCTCTTTCTGTTAGATGGCTCTCACAGTGTCGGGAAAGGGAGCTTTGAAAGGTCTAAGCACTTTGCCATCACAGTCTGTGATGCTCTGGACGTCAGCCCTGAGCGGGTGAGTACAAGTCTTCTCTATCCTTGTATTTGGTATCTTTGTTTGCAAGTGACAGAAACCCAGTTGTAAACAGCAGAGAGAACTTACTGGCTGTGTGGAAATGGGAAGACCAAAGGGGCAAATCCTAGCACGGTGGTATGCGTGGGCCCAGAGGAGTCCCTCTTTTTCTCCCTGCAGTTGTGCTTTTTTTGCTTGACTTCCTTCCCAGGCAGATTTTTCTCACATGGCAAAGATACTCTGCATTGTCCTTCAAGCTAATGATACCAGGAAAAAAGAAAGTGGACTTTTCTTGTGGATCTCAAAGAATTCCCAGAAGAGCTCCAACTGAGTAGGCTTAGGTCCCAGGATAACCCTTGGCCAATCACAGCAGCAGGGGGAGAATCTTTGGTCAGATCTGAGCTAACTGCTTATCCATGTTTCGGGGTAAAGAGCGTTCCCCCTTGGAAGCAGGGGCTATATTTGCAGAGCAATGGGAAATGCGACACATTGAGCAGAGTCTCAGTACAAAGCATAGTTCCTGCCCTTTCTGTTCCCTTGAAAAGATCCCCTCCTGCCTGACCAAATCCAGACAACATCTTCCTTTCTTGTTCTTCCCAGCTTCAGAGTTCACCTTCAAAGAGGTCTTAACTACCAGCAGAGTGTGGTAGATGTAGCTTTTGTTTTTAAAGGGGATGATTTTGAACAACCCAATAGAAGAAGGAGCAGCGAACACTGACAGTTCCCAGAAAGTGAGACACAGATGGTCTGTGGAAAGATGTGCCTCACCTTCTTCAAAGCAGTAGCAGGTCTCCTACTGACGTGCCCTATTTTCACTTACTGATTTGGAAAAATGTGAATTGGCAAATCTTTGAGAAACTGGTATTCCCATATACTGTGGTGGAAATGTAGGCTGGTACAACCGCTGTGGGACAATTATCCATCACAGTAACAAAGGCTGGGACCCTCCGACCAGGCATTCCACTTCTAGGACTTGATTCTACAGATATTCCCACCCATGCAAAACAACACCGAATAGTTATACAGCACCTTGCGCTGTTATTTGGAATTGTAAAAGATTTCAGAAACCAACTGTCCATTGACTGGGAACAGGTAAATCCATTATGGTGCATTCATATAATGATTCATGGAGCAGCTGCAGAAAGTGAGTAAACGATATCAGAGCACATTAAATGTAAAAAAGAAGGTGCAGATGGCATGTAGAATATGTTACTTTTATGTACAAATGAAGGGAAATGCATGAAATCTATATTTGCATTTGTATAAAGAGAGGGCAGGCTGAGGATAATGGTTCCTGTCACAGAGGAGGAAGGGAACTAAGTAGGTAGAGTCGAAGTCCAGGGGGAGACCCAGCAATATAGACTGTTTCATACTTTCTAGAGTTCGAACCATCTGAACCTACCCAAAAGTCAAATTCAAGATTAAGAAGGGTGTTTTGGTGGAAATCCGTAATTATTTGAATTAGAGACTAGTTACGTATTGGTTGAAGAAGGAAGTGGTTTTCCAAGATGACATTCCTGAGTTAATCCTAGTAAAACCTGTCGGATTTAGGAGCAAACATGGCTTCTAATGAGGGCCAAGTTTTCTCCAGAATGGCCTGTCATTTGGGAGTAGAGGCACATTCCCCAGCACTTCAGGCAATCTTGCAGTCATCTGCAGACACCACAGCAGACTTCGTTATGTCCAAGCAAAAGCAACCCAGAAGTTCTGACCATGATGCAAGCCCAGCATAGACCCTAAAAGGGCCAGGGCAGATGACTGCTGAATCCCTCCCCTCCCCCCGTACTGAGCTTTTCTTTTAAAATGATTCCTTATGAAGTTTACTAGTCATTTCTGGAAGAAGTGGCAAAAGATCAAATACTGTTTATCTTGGCATTAACGTGGTGTGCCCTGAGATGAGTAGCCTAGAGACACCGGAGGATGGCAGGTTGGAAGAGAAATGTTATGGGAATCGCATGTTCTGCAGGTGAGGAAACAGCCTCAGAAAGGAAGGCTACGTGACCGCCTAGGGTCACACAGCAATCTCAGGAGAGAGCTAAGTGTGGAAGACTTTGGGCTCTTGATTCTTAGCTCAGGACTTGCTCCATTAGGCCGTGTGTCATTCCCAGTGGATCACCTCTGAGCTGGGGTGAAGTAAATGGTGGCATTTGGAACTCACACCCTGCTGTCACACAGCAAGTGCACAGCCAGCAGTGCGGCAGTGTGTGGAGGAAGGCGGATGGACAGTAAAAAAAACAGGCCAAGAGTCTTCATGGCTGATGCTGTTAGGAGCATATTAAGAGTTTAGGAAATTTAACCTCAGTGCTGCTGGACCACATCTAGAATGTAGCATCAAGTTCTAGGGTTGATTTTTATGTTTGATACTGGCAAAAAGACAAAGCTTTTCAGAGTCAGGATAGGGCCACCAGCCTCCATGTAGGAAGACCCTGGTTATCATTTTCATGCAAGAGAGTGAAATATGGCTCTATTTTATTGAGAGGGCAGAACCTGGGTGTTCAGAGAGTTCGATTTGGGCTTAACTTGAGAAAGATCTTCCTGTAGCAGGACTTGGAGAGCACAGGAGTTGGATGACTGTTTGGGTGAGTGAATGTCTATGCCTCTAGGGTATATCAAGAGACCACTGGCATGCTTAGAAGAGTTTGTGTGTTGGGGGAATTTAAAATAGCTCAGTCTGATCTGTGGCTTCATGCTTTATTTTATTTATTTATTCCTTCTGGTGTTGGGGGTGGAAGCCAGCGTCTCCTGCAGGATCAACTTCCCTAGCCCAAGGTTTTATGTTTTTCCCACTGCACTTTTTGTCTCATTTTTGTTGTCTCCAGATACAAAGGATTTGATCTGTATCTTGCTTTGCTTTCTCTAACTTTAGTCTTCAGGAAGAAAATGTTCAGTAGCTTTAATGAAGGTCTTTTATGGGTGCTTTGTTGTTGAGGTGGATTGAAGGTGTTTGAAGTCTTCCCCTTAACACTTAAAAGCTGAGAAGTACATTTCCTGGCTCTAATAAAGGGTTGCAGCAGAGAGATTGCAGTGTGGTGAGAAATCTATGCAGGCTTGCTTCTGAGCATACAGTAAACTGAAGATAAAAGGCAGCTATTTTGCTCCCAAACCACCAATTAAATGAAATGCCTTAACTACTGACTTAGGCTGTTTCCTGCCTGTTTTGTTTTGAAGTTGTGTCCTTCCTGTTTAACCCGAGTAAATAGACTGAGCTGAAACCTTAAGGGAGTTGTTGTTTTAAAGTAATTCATTCACATGGTTCAGTAAAAAGACCTACAGTGAAAACTTTCACCCACGTATTTTCCATTTGCCAGATCCCCTGCCTATTTTCTTAAGTAGCTCTCAAGAATTGCTTTATGCAAATACAAGCAATATGAATATACATTATTTTCCCCTTTTAACAAAAATAATAGCATAGTCTATATTGTGTTATACCTCTTTGTCATCACTTTACCTTGGAAATCTCTCCATATCTGTATATAGGTATTAACTGTTTTTTTTCTACACCTAATTAATGTCTGATCATGAGCATTAATTGAGGTTTAATAGCAAACCCTCTACTGATGGACATTTACTATTGCAAATTGCATAGTGTGATCTTGGAAATATATTGTTTCACATATATGGAAGTATATCTGTAGGATCAATTCCCAAATATCCCACACATTTTTAATTTTTAATAAATATTGCCCCCCATGGATGCTATACAAATTCATAGTCCTACCAGCAGTGTTTGAGAATGTTTATTTCCTTGTATATTGCATCTAGTATTTTTGCTAAACATTGATGTGGAAAAATGGTATCGTTTGTATGGAGAGGTCAAACCCCTTTCCATTAAAGAGCATTTGTCTTTCCTGTTCTATGATCTCTGTTCCTACCCTTTGCCCATTTCTGTTGAGCTATTGGCCCTTATATATCAGTTCCTAGATACTATTTTACATATTGAGGAAACTAACCTTTCGTTCCCAACATTAGTTGCAAATAACTTTTCCATTTTGTCTTCATTTTTTATTGTATAAAGGCATGCTTTGCTCTGTAGAAGTTTTTAGGTTTTCTTTAGGTAAATCAGATTTCTTCAGGTAAAGTCACTCTTTCCTTTATACCTTCCAGACTTTAAGGTAAAGTCCCTTGCATTCTCAGGTTAGAAAGGAATTCTTCCAAGAATTCTTCTAGAACTTTCATGGCTAGGTTTTTCCCATTAAATCTTGACTCCATTTGCAGTTTATCAGTAATGTATTGTACGTGTGGCCGGTGACTATCCAGTTGTCCTGATGTCACTTGCTCACCAAACCATCTTTTTTCCTCATTGCATGCAGATGCTCCCGCCTCCCCCACTTTTTATCCACACACTAAATTCAAGGAAAATCATGGAAGGGTTCTTGCTTGGAAACTTGTTCCTAAGTTTGTCCACTGCACTGTCTTCTGGTCTTCATCTCCCGATATGTCCACTCAAGACGTAAATTCCTTCCTACCTAAGGTGCCCCTGAGCTCCTCCTCAGGACTCCCCGCCTGTTGAAGGTGAGTTCAGAGAGCTGAGGGCTTCACCTCTTTGTCCCTTGAGCAGCAGGCCTGTTAAAGGATTGCAGTGGAATTTTGAAGTAGGGAGCAAAAGGTCACGTCATTGCTGAACTCTGAACCACTTGGCCTGGTCAAATCTTGGCCAGAACTTGCCTTAATTATGAAAGTGGTTGCTGAGAATATTGTTTCTCCAGGGGACTGGAGAACCGAGGATTAGGGGCAGGCCACGGGCCCACAAGAAGAAACCTGAATGTTTATAGCCTTCATGCTTTAAGACACAGAGTTTCTCTTCTCCAATTTTTTAAGGCGTAGGATTTTCTCTCATGGCCCCTTCAGTTAGGACTCAAAATCTGTTTGGATTCACCAGAGCTCTCACTTCCATTGTTTACCTCAGTTTGCAGGCGTTGATTGTCCCTCAGTCTGACGCTGGTCTAGAGACCTGGCCTTTCTCTAGCTTGGCAGGAGCAAGCCTGGATGAATGACCACCCAATAAAGGACAACAAAGGACAGAGAGCTGCTAGCAGCTGTGGCTTGTGATGAGCCACCAGTGATGACAGCTGGGCTTGCTTCTGAGGAGCCCTGCAGCTGCCCAAGGAGCATTTTGCTGAAGGGCTGTGGTGACTTCTGAGAAGGCAAACAGCAGGGAAGATCAGAGGGCCCAAAGTTTAATGTCCTGGCCCCTTCGGAGTAAACCCTTGCCTTAGGCCAGTTCTGTGTCCCCTGCACATTTTAGGCTCTCAGCAGTAATGTAGGCGTTAGTCATGCCTCTCTCATCTCCAGGTGAGGTGATGTATGAGATTGTACACGGGGTGCCTGGGAGTCACTTTAGCCAATGTGCCTGAAAGCTGCTCACAGCTCAGCTGAGAAAGTGCATAGAATGCGCTGCCTTTGCAGGATGTGGGCGGAGAAGATTAATCGTGGATTGTCAGTACAGAACACAGACCAATTTGACCATTTCCTTTCAGGTTCTCCAGCTGGTCTTGGGAACCTTCTTCCAGGCAGATGGGCAGAAGCTCTGGCACTGATATTTGTTGGATAGCCAGGAGGCAGGGTTGTTAACCTTTCTCATCCCCCTTTCCTCTTTGGGATGCTTGTAATATGACTCCAGTCTTGGCCCCCCGGGGCCACTGTCTCCTTTTGCAGGTCAGAGTGGGAGCGTTCCAATTTGGTTCTACTCCTCACCTGGAATTCTCCTTGGATTCATTTTCAACGCGACAGGAAGTGAAGGCACAAATAAAAAAGATGGTTTTCAAGTATGTATGATTGGATACTGTCATGGTAGACTGGAGTCAGCCCTCTTAAAGTCACCCCTTTCAAGGAAGGGCAAGCCATGTGCTCAGCTTTACTGAGAGAACCATGGGCCACTTCTGTGACCCCACTGTGCATAGTGGGTAATGAGAATTTCCTTCTCAAGGCTGCCCGCCATCATTACATGATGTCCCAGGAGGCATTGAATGGTAGTTTAAGAAAAGGGGAACAAGGCAGGAGGGAAGGGGAAAGGAAAGAAGGGACAGGAAGAAAAGAGAACAGAAGGAAAGAAATGGAAACAAAGCTTTTGTAAATAAAGGGAAGAAGGGTTGAAGGGAGGGGAAGGGGAAAAAAATCAAGCTATATCATGTGCAGGTGCAAACTCCCTATGACGAATAGTCTACATCTATTATTAACCATCATCATTAATAGATAATAGATAGCTATGAACTATTATATATTATTAAGTGTTATGTGTATCTAAAATACATCAGTGAGAAAACACCAAAAAAGGAAAAAGGATTTGCTGTTCTTAGTCAATTCGATGGAGACAGGGCTTTTGAAGGTCCACACTAGGTTAGCATTTCCTGTCCGCTGGAACTACCTGTGATACATGCGTGACTGTCTCATTGGCAGCATAGGACAGTCGTGCATGTACAGCCCCGCCGTGAATGTAAGAGCATGGGGCAGGAGAAGAGGGCTGGATTGAAGTCCTCGCTGTCTGAGGTGACCTCTGCAGCTTGGGGGCTTCACTGCACTGTTCTGAGCCTCAAATCTGTTATCAGTGAATACTAAACAGTAAACACACTGTTACTGTGAGTGCTTTAGAACTTATGCATAGCTGTTTATGTGCTCAACCTGTATACACCCTATACATATATGTACATAGTGGCGTATGGCTTGACTCAGCAGATCAGCTGGTAAAGTATATGTCAAAGCTTTTAAACTAAAAGTGTGTTGTGCCTGTGTGTGTTCATTTGTATATACATATATCCTTTTAAATGTATGTGTATTTTACATGCACACATAATCTATAGGTATATGAATGTGTGTTACACACATATATGCACGTGCACATGTGCGTGTGCACACACAATGTTTTTCACAAGCCCTTACAGAAAAGGGACTTTGACTTCTTACTTGCTTCACTGGTCTTTGTGTTACCAGGGCCTGGGGTGCTGGAGTCTCCTTTTAGAGGCAATTCTAGGTCCTTTCTGTCCCGGACAAAGAATTGAACAAAATGATCATAAACGGTGGTTTAATAAATGTGAAACTCTAAAGGTAGGAAAGAAACAAGGGTAGGGAAGAATGGACCCTGCAAAGCAGACAATATAGTTTTTTTCCCTAGGAGTCTTCTGCTTTAGGGGCCACCAAGTATTGATTTCCTATAGAGAATAGCCTCAGACTTGCTTTGTATTCTGGGTTCAGACTTACAGTGTAGCACTTGCCAACGTGAAGTCTTGGAGCCACCTGGGTCAGAGTAGTCTAGGGAAAAGGTCCCAAGTACAAATGCTGGGATCCTACCCAGATGTACTGAATCACATTCAAGTCTGGGCAGTGATACTTAGGGGTCTAGTGTTTTATAAAATCTTTCTCCTCCCCTTTCCCTATGACTATAACACGTATTTTGGGTTAAATGCCTTTTTGACATATAATTTGTACACCTTAATATTTGTTCATGCACAGTTGAGTGGTTTGGGGTAATACAGTGGCACTTCAGTTCACGCACTTAATTCGTTCCATGATTCTGGGGAAGATGGCCACAGCTGTGTTCATCATTCAATACAGAGTTTGCAAACAGAAGCAAAATTTTGCGAATGCCTTTATTTGCAAACCAGATTGTTCATAAACAGAAGCATTCGTGAACCAGGGTATTATTTCATTTACAGAGCTACACAACTACTTCCCTAACCTAATTTTTAAATATTTTCATCATCTCAAAAAGAAACCTTAGAAGGAGACATTCTTTATAGTAAATAAACAGCCAGTAAGTACATGAAAATAGGCTCAATAACATCAGTGAAAAGCAAACCAGAACCACAAAGAGATGCGATATAATACTGACTAGTAAGGCTGAAATAGAAGACAAACACTAACAAGTGTTGGCAAAGATTTGCAAAGACTGGAACCCACACGCAATGGTGGTAGAATGGTCAAGTCATGCCCACTACTTCGAAAACACTTTAGTAATTCCTCCAGATATTAAATAATAAAGTATCATTATGACCCGGTAATTCCACCTCAAGAGAATTGAAAGCATATGCCCACATAAAAACTTGTACACTAACATTCATAGCAGCGACATTTGTAACAATTTCTAAATAAATCAACACAAATGTGCAGTTGATGACTGCATAAAGAAAATGTGGTCTATCCATACAACTGAGTGTTATTCAGGCATAGAAATGAGTATTGATTCATGCTACCTCATGAGTTAATCCTGAAAACATACATTAACTGAAAGATGCCAGGGGCTGGGGATTTACCTCAGCAGCACAGAGCCTGCCTGGCAAGTGCGAGGTCGTGAGTTCGATTCCCGGTACCGGAAATAAACAAAACAAAAATAACAATGAAAGATGCCAGTACCAAAAGGTCACACAATATATTGTATATTTCCATTTTTTCTTTTTTTGTGGTGCTGGGGGTGGAATCCAGGTCTCACACATGTAAGGCGAGTATTCTACCACTGAGCTACATCTCCAGCCCTGTATTCCATTTTTATAAATGTCTAAACAAATTTATGGAGATAAAAGGTAGAGTAGTATTGCCAGGGGCTAGGGGAAGAAGGAATGATTATTAATGAGTACAGAGCTTCTTTTGAGGGTGATAAAAATGTTTTTGGACTAAGTGATTGCAGAACTCTAAATATCCTAAAAACTACTGACTTGTATATTTTTTATTTAAAAAAATTTTTATTAGTACATGTTTATAGTACTTAAAGATTACATTCATTGTGGAAGATTGGTATATGTACATAATGCATCTCAATTCCTTTTTTCCCCATCCTCTCTACCCCGTTTTTTTGCCAGCATCAGATTCATTTATCACATAATTCCTTATAAAGTTAATTATACATACAGATTAACAGCCAGACTAACAGTCCAAAAAACATATGAAACACATAAGATAAGGTACACTTTTAGATACTGTACGTTGTGCTGAATTACATTAACTTTTTTCTCTTTTTTCCTTTTGATTTATATAATGAATTTCTCATATAAGAGAAACCATGTGATATTTAAGTTTGTACGTCTGATTACTTCATCTAAAATTATGATCTCAAGGTACATCCATTTTCCTACTTGAGTTTCTCCTCCCTTATGACAGAGTAGCACTCCATTGTGTATAAATACAACAGTTTCTTTATCCATTCATCCATTGATGGACATGTAGCCTGCTTCCAAGATTTAGCTATTATAAACTGAGCTGCTATAAACATGGGTATGCATACATCATTGTGGTATGATGGCTTTAACTTTCCTGGGAAGATACCTAGAATAGCTGAGTCAAATGGAATTTCTATATTTAGGTTTTTGTGTGTGTGTATGTGGAATCTCCATGCTGATTTCCAGAGTGGTTTTACCAGTTTACACTCCTACCAACAATAAAGAAGTATTCCTCCCCAACCCCAGCCTCATCAGGATTTATTACTGGTTGATTTGGTGATGATAGCCATTATTTCTGGAGCAAGATGGAATCTCAGTATTGTTTTAATTTGCATTTCTCAAATGGCCAGTGATGTGGAATGTTTTTTCATGTACTTATTAGCCATTTATACTTCTTCATCTGAGAAGTATATATTCATTTCAGATGCCCATTTTTTAAATGGGGTTCTTTACATTTGGGGGATCTAATTTTTTGAGTTCTTTATATATTCTAAATATTAGTCTTTTGTCTGAAAAGTAGCTGGCAATTTTTTTTTTTCCATTTTGTAGGTTGTCTCTTTACTCTGGTGGTGGTTTCCTTTGCAGTGCAGATTTTTAATTGAACGTGATCCCATTTACTGATTCTTGGTATTACTTCTTGTACACTGGGTTCTGTTCATAAAATCTGCCTACACTTATGTCTTCAAGAGTATTACCTATTTTGTCTTTTAGCAGATTGTTTCTGTCTTAATATTTAGATATTTGATCCATTGATTTTGATTTTGCTGTAGTGTAGGGCAAGAGAATCAGGTCTACGTTCAATCTTCGGCATGTGGGTAACCAGTTTTCCCAGCTCCATTTGTTAAAGAGGCTGTCTTTTTCCAATATATGTTTTTGGCCTCTTTGTCAAAGATCGGGTAGCTGAATGTGCTTGAAGTTGTTTCTGAATCCTGTATTCTGTTCCATTGATCCATATCTAGTTTTGTGCTAGTACCATGCTGTTTTTATCACCATGGTTTTATAGTATAACTTGAAGTCCAAGATCCTGATGACCCCTACTTGCCCTTGAATATTGGCAGAATCTGTTGTGATTTTGCCTTTTTCATTTTTAATTGTGTGGGTTTGGATCTTTTCTTTCCTTATTTTGGTAAGCTTGGCTAAGAGTTTGCCTATTTTGTTTAGAAAGATTCAACTAGGGGCTGGGGATTTAGCTCAGCGGCAAAAAGCGCCTGCCTGGCAAGCGCAAGGTCGTGAGTTCGGTTCCCGGTACCGGAGAAAAACCAAAAAACAAAAACAAACAAAAAAATAAAATATATGTAACTAAACAAAAAATAATACAAAGAACGTGATGAAAATTCTATTATTTGAATTTTCAATAAATCTTACCT